TCCACAAAGTTCCTTGTTACCAGATAGTGCCATGCTGATGTAAATCCTCCTTTTTTCTTGCAGTTTATCATGCAATCTACTTGGAAGAAATGGCAGCCTCGGAAGTCACACGCAAGCTTGCTTTGGCATTCAATATTCCTTTGCATCAGATCAACCAGGTTTACAGACAGGGTCCCACAGGCATCCACATTCTTGTTAATGATCAGGTAATGGAAATTACATTTCCTTGACATTTTATTTATGCATGAGATCAGGTTTTTAACACTTCTCTTGTCTTTTGTAGATGGTTCAGAACTTTCAAGATGAGAGTTGTTTCCTATTCACCACAATAAAAGGTACAGTCAAAAACACAACTGTGAAGTCTATCAAGGAGCTGCCTTTAGAGCAGAACGCTGGTCCAGGAAACTCCCCAGGCAGAGTAAGGGCAGACACAGAGATGGCTGATGTGCAAACACACCAAGATCTGCTTCCAGCAGAAATGGCAGAAACCCCCATGTGGTCAGAGGGGTGGAATCACTTTAATTGTACCTGCAGTCAACTTTGGTCATTTGGATTTCCTATTTAAACACTGGGGCTTCAGATGAATCCCACCCTTCCTTAGTGTAGTTCTGGGAAAAGGTGCCGATAAATTGCTGTAATCTCTGGCTGAGTTTGGCTCTGTGCAAGTTTCATTGCACAGAGAATTGGCCAGAAACTGCCCCAGCTTTGAAGACTCAGTTACAAATTGTTTATCACAACATTTTTGTTCAGCAGATGTAGGAAAATCCTTGTTTTCTCCTCTAGATGAGCTGTATTTTTAAAGCTGCTTCACTCAGCCTCGTAGCTTGAAATTCTGAGACTGAAATGGTTGTGTATACTTTGTGTAGCATAAAATCTGTTCAGTGACTGTTACAGACCCATTTGTCTCGGTCGTGAAGCCTTCTGATGGTACTGCTCAATTCTGACCATAAAGCCACAGGGTCTTTTGCTTTTAACAGTTTCCCTTTGGCTTTCTAGTTTTAAGGCTGAGCATCACAAAATCAAAGACTGAAAGTATACACTAAGGATTTTGATTGCTCTCGCAGTAGTTAACTTCATTTTGTCACAGTAAGTGTCACAGGTGAGATGGCTTTAATACGTGGTAAGAAGTGGTCAGAAATAACTGCAGACCAAAGGGGGTTTTAAGAAGTTATTCTTCAGGTGTTTAGTGTGAATAGCAAGCTCCTGGTACTTAGCATGCTTTGACTTTACTATTTCATAGTAGTAATGAAATACCAATACACTGAAGTGAACCACTTCTACATGGTTAAAACCTAAGCCCATGCTCTGCTGATCTGGGGCTTTGGCTGGTGCATTTATGGTTATTCTATTTATGATTCTAACAACTTCTTTTTCAGCTGAAAATGGTGAAGGCTTCCATATAATTCTGAAGTGATGACGTCACACAACTGCTAGACTGATACTCCACCGCAGAATGAAGTCCTGCCTAAAGATTACAAAGATCATCCAAAACCTTAGGATCTAACATTACTGTATAAGATGTTTCATATTGAAAACACAAAATGACCTTTCTAATGAGCTGTTTGATAGGTGAACTTTCTTATCACTGCCATAGCTAAGTGTCCTCATGAGAGGTATAACGGCCATGACAGCTTACGTACAGGCATGAAAGACAATGTAAGCAAAGGTGCTTGCCCTTCCCTGAAATAAGGCAAATTATGGCCAGTAGATACAGCTTTTAGAAGCGTTTTCTATTACCTGTATCCAGTCGGAGATGAATGTAAACTTATTTTGGGGCATTTACCTTTCTGTGCCAGTTTGTCTATTCTGTGCTTGTACCTGATGCTGGTTTTATTTTTTGATGTTAGCAGAGCACATGCTAATCTGTGTGGAGATGAGTAGTTAAGCTGATAGTGATCAGGTTGTTGGGTCTTTGAGAGTCAAGCTGTCAAAACAGCTTCCCGTGTAAATTGTGTATAAGAGTGTATGTAAGAAGTGTAAATGCCAGAAGAGGGCTTTTAAGAAGCCCTAGACAGATGCAATATATGCATGCAGCAAACTGCATTATCAGTAGTACCTTATTGGAGGGATTAATATAAATCCTATGAGGTACCAAGTAATTGTGTTTTGCTTTAACGGATTTAATGGAAAAGACTTGCCTATGCATCCTTTATGTTTAGTTTCTTAGGTTCTCTGCGGAGCACTGCTGCAGTTTAACTCTTTGCTTGTGAAATTGTGGGGTTTAAAATACCGGCCGCGAGAGGTGGACGTGTCTGACTCACTGGAATTGTGCTGATGAGGGAAGAGGAGCCACAGGCACCACGGGGCTGGCGCAGCTTTCAGCAGCATCACATACACTGCTTAAGAAATACTAAACCTGCTCCATGTAACTCTCCTTCCCAGCAGGGAAAGGCCTTGCTCTAGTGGCTGTTATGGACAAGTAGTGTCTTACCTGTTCTGTTGCCCTGTCTTTGCCCTGGGAGCCGCGCTGAACCGCTGTTACATTACAGTGCCTCTGCCATATGACCAAATAACTTTTCTTTCAGCCAGGAATTGTGCTTTCTCGCTATTTTGGGCTAGCTCTCTCTTGTGACGACGTGACGCAGCGTTTCCCATGCTAGCATTCAGTTGCAGCTGGTTCGGTACTTGGAGAGGAACTTCTCCACAGGGACTGAATGACTTCTTGTCGCGGTCATTTTGTGCCTCTGGAAAGCTCCGCCGTGATCTCCGGCTTAAATGCTTAGGAACAGTTTTGCTTTTTATGCTGCAGCGTTCAGTGTGAGCAGCCGCCACCGCGTGTAAAAAAGCAACGTTGATTTTGGCATTCCCTCTTCTGTAACTGGCTCAAGTGCTTCAGCAGAAAAGCTTCCTAAAGCTGTAGCGTTCTGAAACTTTACGTTCATCCAAGCTAGAGGGGTTTGGGTTTCTCCTGTCCTTATTTTTTTCTGCACTGAAAGTAACATTTTACGTACTTCCTATAAGTTAAGTTGTTCATTTTGGGTATTGTTTGGTCCTAGCATTTTCTTGAACTGACACCATCTTTTCAGCTCCCACACTATTCAAATCCAAATGTTTTATAAAAGCGGAAAAATCCTTGATTGGAAAGTATCCCAATATCTGATTTTCAAGACCATTGGAAGTCGCACAGTAGTTTGTCCAGCTCACTTCAAATTGGAATTAAATTATGGCACCAGCAAATTGCTTTTGTTTTTTAATGAGATGTACACATTTCAATTTAAGTATAATAAATGTTTTTCAATAATTTTGTAAACGTGCTTTTCTTTTCCTTTACTTCCCCATTCAATATGCTTCTGGTGTTCAGATGAGCTGCAAGACCTGCCCTAATGATAACAGTGGGTAAAGGTACTCACAGAAGCAAACCAGCCTGGTAGCTTATCCTGCACCTGACACACATACATTGATATTCTATTTCTGATACAAAACTGAGTTAGTTACATTTGAAATGATTGAAACAAATTCAAATGACATCAGCTGATTGTTTATTTAAGTGGCTTATATCAGAGTAGATTCCGTTTGGGTTTGTACATCTTAAATGCAATAGACTTACAGGGGTCATTATGATCTTAGAAAAAAAGATGAGCCGACAAAGGGCATTACAACTTGACGTACTGGTACTGGTGACCTTCGTGGTACAGGTGACAAGAAAATCTGCTTAAAACTCTGTTACAGCAGGATGTATCCTAATGGAACTTGAAGCATGATGGTAACAAGCAGCACTCCACCACTGCTGTGTAAAACAAGCTCTGACCACCTTATTTTATAGTAGTAATCCATGTACTGCTGCACTCTAACCTGTAACTTAACCTCAAAGCTGAGGCTTCCAGTCACTGTCCTTATCTGAAACACATTCACACTTCTTTTAAAAAGTAGCTTTAAATATGTGGGGGGAATTGCAGTACTACCCAGAAGTAGCTTCTCCAACTGCTTTTTAAGCCACTACTTCTATTAATCTTCAGTAAACACACAGGCCCTGAACTCTTTGAGACATACATACACACACAGTCAATCTTACACAAAAAACGTTTCTTTCTGAACTGTTGAGTAGTTTCTCAGATCATTAAGTTGCTTAAGATAAAAAAGTTCATCTAATCCTCTAGCACTGAAGAACTAAGGATGGCCTTAAGAGTCAATACACAGAATGTTACTATTCTTGTAATTCAGATGTTGACAGCTTCTCAAGTAACCCAGATGTGAAGAGTTTGGCTTTCTACATTTGAAAACCACAGGTTTGGTTCAACTCCTGCCTACAGCTTTATCTGCCCATCGGCTTGCTGTGCCCCAAGACCAGGTGTGACAAACAGCTGGAATTCCTTACTCCATCCAGTCATAGTTCCCATAACTGAACCTGGCTTCCATTCTTCAGCTGTAGCAAAGCATGAGTACCCTCTCTTCTAGAACAGCAGCGTCTTTCCCTTACAGCCCAAGGACAGCAGGAAGCACCATGTGGCTGCAGCAGCCACTCAGCTCCACCCACAGCAGGTTGCTCTCCCCTTGTAAAGGCTGATGGCACTGGGTGTAAAACATGCTTCAGTGACAGGCAAGCTTTACACCAACTTAACTGAACCAAGCTCAGAAACTTGGGAAGTATCTCTATTTATACAGTTACCTAGAGGTACTACCTTACCTTTGACATTACCTATTGTGTCCCCTTGTGTAATTAAATACAAAGCTGACTCATGAAAAGGTATAAGCTGTTTGGCTGCAAGAGCTCATGATTACCTTGCGGTTTTTGGTCAACATCTGCTAAAGCTGATTTGTCTTTAAACCTGGTGCTTAATCTGTCATATATGTTACAGAACAGCAGGTTCGGTTCTGTGGTGAGACAGGCTTGAGCCCCACGTCAGGTTACACAACTTCACACCGAGAAGTGCTTACAAATGCAAATTAACTTCCAAGTTTAGTGAACTTCCACCAAGTAACTGCTAAGCTGAAAGGCCTGCACGTTTTACACAGCATTTCAGTTCTCATGCCAACAGAAGGAAGGAGTTGCTAATACAAACTGAAGCATCACCAACTTAATCCACAGCTGCACATTATGGTAAGAGTTTTACCTGGAAAAAAAACGCTTTTCTTGTCACAAAACTGGATGACCAAACACCACTGTTAGGACTGTCAGGAAACCAACTCCTTCCACTGCCTTGCAGTCCCGTTCTCTTCAACATCAACAATGAAATCTGCTGTGTGGTTGCACTTACTGTCAGAGAATGATACAGCATCTGCAGAGGCGCTGTCCGCTCCCTCCTACTGATGGCGGGGGAGTTACTGGAGCAAAGTAAGCATGGACTTTCACATGAGGTAGATGAGCCTGCGGGTGAAAAGTCTGCATTAACAATGGGAGAGAAAGAAACACAACTAGTGAAAAGCAGCAGCATACCTCAACTGCTGCCAACACCTGGGCTCTCAGTCAGGTTAGCTAAAAAGGAAGCATCTGTACACTGGATACGGTCCAAGCTGTTGTAATTCTCCTGTCCCATCCAGCTAAGGCATGCTAGGACTGGGCTCTCACCTGCGCAGCGTTCCCACCTGCTTCCCAACAAGGCATGGCTCAGCCCAGAGACCTCTATCAAGCCAGACACATGTTCTGCTGCAGGGGAGAGGGGACACTGGCTACTGAAGCTACTGTATCCTGTCTCCCCTATTCCCTCCTTCTCTCATCCTAGGAAGCAGCATGGAATAGAACTGGGCATATGCCCTCAATAGTCACTGTCAGGGAGCTTTCCAATTGCAAAGGTGAATCTAGGAGATGAAGCTGCAAACAAGTATAACAGTAAGGCTAAACCACTGCTCCCCCAGGGCAGGTAAACAGAGGAAAGGTTTGTGTCTGGACTTGAGGGCATAACAGCCATATAGTCTCTTCATCTCCATGCAGCTGTTTTGCTATTGGCGCTATATATTAACTTACATTTTAGGAGTTAATGCTGCTACAATATCTAGAAAACATAGAAGCCTGTCTCTGAAATACTAATACAGAAAGCAGAAGGTAAGGCACTCATCATTCCAACAGCAAAGTGTCATGTGCTACAAACAGTTAAGCAATTATTACTACTCATATAGAAAAGCTCCATCGAGATCCTAGAGGTGAGGAACTAACAGAACCATATTCAGACTCTGTCCATCCTCCCTTGCCTGGAACATGCGCAGGATTCACACAGCCTCGAGCAGCATCAGCAGCTCATTCCTACCGGCACAAGTCAGCGAACACGTACTCTGATCCGCTTGATTCCAGCTCGTGTCACTTGCTGGCAGTCATACAGCTCAATTCTCTCCAAGTTGTGGCAGTTCTCCAGGTGCTCCAGCGTCACATCAGTGATGAGGAGGCAGTTATCAAGCTCCAGGACCTGCAGCCTCTCATGACCACAAGTACTGTTGCTCAGATGCAGAATCCCATCATCGGTGATCAGTTCACAGTGAGATAAGCTCTAAAAGAGAGAGAGGCAAACAGTTAACACATTGCTCAGGCCAAGTTACTCTGTCCTCCAACCATCAGAACTCTTCAACCTACTTCATTCTAGTGGTTTGAACAGTTACAAATAATACACAGAGCTGAAATCCAGAAGAGCAAGCAAGAAACAGCTCTGCTCCACCAAAGGGCTGTGCTTTGTGTTTAACTTGGCTTCGACATGAGTAGAACCCCAAAACGCAGCCCACCGGCAGAACTCCTCGGGCCCCTTTGTTCTACGTGAATGGAGGAATTCTGGTCCAGCTGTCGGGCACCTCTGCTATTGTACACAAACAGCACATGTGCTGTGCCCGAAAACAGGAGACAGTATTCAAGAGATGCTCAAGGACATGCAGGAACAGGCGAGGATTTGCCACACGAGTTAGTGCTTCACAAGCTACCACATTTTCATATATAGCACCGGGACCAAGCCTATGCAAGTCCGTGGAGATAAAGAACAATCAAACTGGACTGATTTGCCTAACTGATTTCAAAAACAACGTGAGCACTCAGTGCTTCAGGCTGTATGTACAGGGAGCAATACACATCTTGTACAGCTGCAGAAGCAAGGCCTTTCTGCAGCCATCAGCATAATAAACCAAAACATCCTTCTCCTCTTCAGCATGTTATTTTACTCCCTTGAATTTCAAGAGAATGGGGAAGGCTGCAGCACCTTGGGCAGCAGCACCACACAAAGCAGTTTCCTGGGTCCTTCAGGAAATTCATGACTTTTGGAGAAGTCTGATGATGACAACAACAGAAAACAGACTTTCCTCAGAGGAGGCTTAACAAGCACTATGCCACCAGTGAAATGAATGCTCTCAAGTCTTCTGCACTAGGAACACGCAGGATCTATGAACTCCAGTCCTCCCGCCCTGGGCTCCGCACTAAGCTCCTTGCTTCATGCTCAGCCCATACTTGTACCCAAGCCTAACAGAGGCTGGTTCCTGCCTTGCCACCAGTGTTTTTTCAGACAGCAGCTGACGAAGAAACACTTGCAGCAATCCAAAAGCACTTTTTAACTCAGAGCAAGCAAACCTCTTGCTAATCATCTGAACCAAACATGTACTCCTTCCTTTCTCTCAGTACAACACATGTATCTTTTATTTCAGCCTGACAAGGAAGCCTGAGCATTACCAATCCTACCCTTATTTTACCTCAGCTGAAGTCACGAGCATTTCCTGCCCGCTGCCACACACAGGTCTGTCCTGCCCTGTCCTTTAGAATAACTTGCCCCTCAGCTTTTCCTCCTTCTCTCAACGGGATGAACAAGTAACCAGAGAAGAGGCTTGAGAGAGGTCTGCAGCATGCCCGAGCCTGATGGGGAGCCCCCGGCAGCTCCAGCAGGTCCAGCGTCACCAACTCCACAAGCCTGAGCAGCTGGCAGCAACTCCAAGCAACGCCACAACCAGTGCATGCTGTCTCCCATAATGATGCAAGTCAGCGCTGCTCTAACTTACAACTTGTTCACGTTCTGCAAGTCCATCAATTCTCTAAATACTCCAGGTTTAACTTCCTTTATGTACGTGCTCTCAGCATTTGATTTGGCTCACAGCCTGGAAACAACCAGCAGCTGCAGGGTTAAAGAACACAGACCTTCTGTTTCAAGGAAGGACAGGAGGTTCTGTGGAGCTCTTGGTTACAGCAGCAGCCTGCTGGCTAATTAAGAGTTTTCCATCCAGGAAGTAAGCAGCTTATAAAAGCAGCTTTCCTGAGACACTGTGTTTGGTGCTGAAAGGACAATACAGGATGTACAGCCGAGTGCATACAACTTTGTAAAACAAATATGCCAAGTGATACATGCTTCATGTTATCTGACCTTTCTGACTTCATAAGCCTCTCAGAAAGTGTTAATGATGTGGAATTTTACAATGACAATTGCTTGAAACCTTTACAAGTTTCAAAGGTTTTGAAATATATGGATTCATACCAAAGAATTTTGTTATTTTTGTTAATCCTTACTAAATGCTGTGTATAAATCAAATACCTATTATACTGTGAGAGTGACATACGATCAACTTAACTGAAGAATTCAATTGACTTCTCATCTGCAGTAATGAGTATTTCAGTTTCCCCAGTAATCTGAATGTGCAATTATTAGACATTTTCAACAGAAATTACTTCTTAAGTCCACTAAGTAATAGAACATTTGAGTACTCCGATACTGACGACCATAAGTGGTTGGTTATAATTGGTCTAACAGTGCTTTCCCTTATTTCCACTATCCACTGAGTCTCCAAACACCAAGAACCAAATTCAAAGTTGATTTCTACAACTCCAAACTATTTGTTTGAACTGTAAATATGCCTAAACATACGCTAAAGCACAGCTAGTCAAGATTTATCAGAACCATCAACAATATGTGATTTCATATTTGAACCTTATCATCAGTACACACAGGTTATTTGGCACCTGCCAAGTCTGTTTTCTCTTTCCCTGTAATTCTGAGCCATCACTGTTCACTCACACCTTGGAGGATATATCCTTCCTACACACAGGGGAAAAATCACATCAACAAAAAGTAAGTTTTCCCTGTTCCCTTAGAAAAGCTGTGTTATTTTACCAGTGCCACACTTCCCTGCCCATGGGCTAACACACACAGAGGCAGCAAACAAGGGCAGGTTCTGAAAGATACTTGGAAATTATGAAGTTTGATGGTACCTCTGGTGCAGCACTGGCGCAAGTGGTACAAAGGACCTCTTGCAAATACAGGTTACAGTTGCGATTACAATACAAGAACATATCCATCGCAGAAGAACAGAAAATGTCCCATATAAATGGCTCCACATCTCCTGACCAACTCTCGTTTGGCTTAACATTAAGAATTATAGCACAGAAATGAGGTCAGGCAATTAATCAGCAAAAATAAAACCCAACATCAATAGAAAATCATGAACAAGCTCCTTTTTAAAAGCCATCTCTCCTCATGTTGCTACCTTAGTAACACTGCATAACACTAATTATAACACCATTTAATTAATGAAGCAGCAAATCTTCCTTTAATCCTATCTAAGAACAGATTATAAAGATACTTGCTCTTTCACGTAGATCTGTAGTAGCATATAAAAAAGTCTACCCTTATGGCACAACTGGTCTAAATACAGGGGCTCCTATTTTAAGGACAGCCTGGCAATTTTGGAGTACCCTGTCTGAAGAATAGCCAAATTTATGTCACCTGAAATTGGGTCTGAAGTTCTGAAAGATCTAAGCAAGCACTCCCTAGGAAACAGTCCTCTGAAGTAAGCAGGGTACCCCACTGAAGGCATCTCAATCTTCTCCAATTCCATTCAAAGTCTAGGTCAAAAAAACCCCTTTCATAACTTACTATGTAAATGTAATCCTTGGGAAAAAACTGCCTGCATGCAAAACTGATACCAGAGTGATCATACAGGTTACATTTATCTTCACCAGGTGGTTTTGTTTATTCAGTATTTGATGCAAAGTCGTACTCTCTAAGAAAAACATTAGTGAACACTTCAAGGGTATCTATAAAGGATCCAAGTACTATAAGTAATCAAATATGAAGGATGTTAACCACAAAAATACAAGGTTTCTGGTTATTACTCACTGATTTGGTAATATTTTGTTATCACTCAAAGTAAATATGTTAGGAGTAATCTTCAGAATACTTATTCAATGTACTTATTTTGTACAGTATCATACTACATTAGGAACTTTGTCTGGATACAGAGTGAACAGGACTTGTGTATGTGTGTAGTTTTGGGGAACGCATTACAATTCACAAACAAAGAGTTAAACTTACCAATGCTTGTAGCTTAGGACAGTGTATAGAAAGTTGTATCAATGTGCTGTCGGTTATCTAGAAATGAAAGAAACCAACCAACCATAAGCAACAGACAGCAGGAGAGTCAACCCTCAAATAAGATATCTCTCTCTCTACCAGATGAAGGTGCTGTTATTTCTGGAAAACACCCAATCACCTATTACTCTTCAAGTATTTCCCTCTATAGAATTTCCCAATAACTACTTTTACTTACTATCATAAACACAGCACTGTTAATAAAAACCAAAGCACATCTAGCTGAAAGTGCTAATGCACTGCATTCTTACACTGGACATTCAATATTCCTTTTCATATTAAAGCTCACCAAAACACACTCTTCCAAGTCCATCTTCTCCAGCTCATGGCAATTCTAAAACAAACAAAAAAGCAAACAGATAAACAAAAGATGAAATAAACCAACATACAGACATAAAAACATGTACAGGAGTAGTGATAAGAGGTGGTATAGCTTTCAAGAGGAAACCATGAGCTAAATCCCTTCAAGTATCTGATCACCATCAAAGGACAAAAAATGGTAAAAAGATTAAAAATCCACCAGCCACACATCACTTCCCTCTCAAACCTCTACATTTCAGCCTTTCCCCTGCTAACTGAAATGTCTCCTCCTTGCTCTGCAAGGTTTGAGCAGCATGCACCAGTACTCACTCACCCCTGCTTCCCTTTTGGGATCAACTTCAATTCAAACCTATGGTACTTACAATCTGTGCACTAAAGATAACCAACCTGCAAACTCATCTGAAACAGACTTTTAAGCCCATGGAACATCTCTCTTCACCATCATACATTATAAAGCAGCATTAAAAACAATGTGCTTTACTAATGAATGCTGAAAATATTAAAACACTGTCCACTTCAAGGCCGAGAGAAAGCTGCACTTCACATCTATACAAGCAATTTCCCCAATACACTGAGAGAACCCCAGCAAGCTCTTGTAAAAGTGCTTTTAGTATCTGATCACGACACATTTCAAGAACATAACATAACCTTGTGACCTCACAGCAGACCACATGCTGCTATGGCTCAGCCCAAACCTCAGCCCATTTTTTACAGGCACAGGAAGGAATGGTTTAACTTGCAGTTCCCAAAGGAAGGCTGGAGGTGACTGCCAAAGCCCAAGTCTGTAGTGGTGAATGATTAGAAACCATTCTGTTCTACCACTGTGGCTAGAAAAAAGCCCCTGCATTCACCCTAAACAGCAGCAGCGCAAACAAATCCTGTTGACTATTATTTTAGTGTTCAGATGTCTTAAACCAGCAAGCAGACAAGTCTAACTTGAAGCATTTGATATCATCAATACGCTTACTTTACATATTTACAGCATGAATCAGGGCACAAGTGTTTACAGTTCATAATGCAAGTATTTTTGTAACTTAATGGTATGCTTAGAACAATCTACTATACAGTGATTCTTGGGATGTAAATATCACCAGGGTATGCATTATAGGGGAAATTTAGCTAGAATACATAACACAAGTTTTGAATTATGATGAGCATAACAAATTCCATTGAAACATACAAAAGAGTGAAAAATGCAATCACAGATGGTAAAATTATTCTATGATTCTATGAAAATAGATCAAATTGCAGCTCTAAGTATAATTCAGAAATAAAACCACTTTTTAGTCCTTTCCTCTGCTGGGCCTTTTCTACTTTATTTTTCTGCTTCTCATACTTCTTCCCAGCAGCACTACATCAATTCACAGCTGCTCAGCAGCAATGAAAACAAGGCAAGCTCTAACCTTCTGAAGTGACCCTTACCCGTGCTAAAAGGGTAAAACCAGCATCTGTAAGATGTGAACATCTTGCAGCTTCCAAAATCCTGGAAAAGTTTTAAATGTTAAAGAAAACATTAGCAGAGAGTAAAGCAAATGCATTTGAGATACAAATCTGTCTTCTGCAACTTAGAGCTCTCGAGAGGAAACGTACACATATACGCCTATTTTTCAGTGATTTGCAATTCAAAAACACTAAGCAGACTTTTAATCCAGTTTATCAGAAGATTCTAATAGTTACAGACCAGATTAAGTTCAATCCCCAATCTTCTCAACATTTAGTGTGGAATTACACCTAATTATAGGTATTTTAACCTTGTTTCAGTAAGACAGCAAAATGCTCAAGTTCTTTCATGCATTACCAGGGGAAAGATATGGGAGAATAAACCCAAGTTAAAGAAAACGGAGAAGAAGCCTACATCTAAAAACCCTTATATAAACACAGGATGTTGGGAAGCCACAAAACTGAGAAACTGCTTACTAGAAATTCACTTAGAGCATGAAGCACAGTGAAGGAAGTTACCAGAAAGCAAGGAACAAAAAATCTCCAAGCCCACAGTAAAACCAATGAACAACACCAACACAACCTTAAAGAAAATAACACAGTGTTTTGGAAAGATAAACCTAACACTCTCTCTCCACTGGCCCTGGGATGCAGTACTGACAAAAGAAAGGTCATCTTCCCCAAACAGCATCACTATAATATTCAGAATGAGCCTTCAGCCCATTAATATTTTGCCACCTTTGTCATCGTCTTCTTTTTCTTTCTCTTAATGAACACATTTTACTTTGCAGGTGGAGTAAGTATCAGGATGAATAAGCAGAAACCACGCAGCAGGAGTGAGTAAGCAGCTGCATGGTGCCAGCTGCGGTTAAACCATGACAGACTCTTGACTATGCCTTGGCTGGATCAGTCTCTTCCAAGCCAAAAGCAACAGCACAGCAGAGTTCAGAGGTTAAACCCCACAGGATACACCCTTGAAAACCACTTTCAGAGTGCTCATCTCCAACACGATTCAAATGTACAATGGAAACTCAAGAGCAGCCAACAGAGAGGTACCACACAGGTACAGCTTCTCAAATGGATGGCTGTAACACCCCTTTCTCTCCACAGACTCACATTTGGGAACTTTGTTCCCTTCCATCAAGGGCAGTTACTAACCTATCATAAAATACTCTCAGCTACTCTGAAAATTATCCACGAGACCAAACAGGAATGGAAAAAACCCAAAACCACCACAAAATATGACTCAGGTCACGTGTTACCCTTCTTACTCCTTTCATCAATTCCTTGCTTTCAACCCCACCTCACTTACAACCACTGGATCCCCAACCCCGTTACATTTCTGATTTTAAAGTGGGGAGAAAGGGATGACATTTGAAGCTTAGAAAACAGGAAGGATGCTACTTACATCTGCTTGAGAAGAAGAGGGAAACAGAGGGGTAAGAAACCAGAAGACTAGCAGCTCTAGTTACCCTGAACTTGGGTGTGCAGCTAGGTCGAAGAGCAGAATGGAGAGAGCAAGCTGTATATACACAGGCTGCAGCAATCAAGCTCACAAATGAAAAACAGGTGGGAAGGCACTGCTCAGCATGAAAATGGGCAAAGTTCTAATTCTTGCTTTCAGTGATTGTTCTTAATTAGAGAGGGCTCTTATTTTTTTTCCAGATAGAGCTGACATTTATATCCCACCCAGTGATTTGTGACAAATGACCTAGAATGGGAGCTGATGAGGCAAAATGATCATCGAGAGCAGATTCACCATTCTCATAAAGCAGTGTTCTCCAAGACAGACCTCCCAGTAGCACTTTAAGATGTGGGTACACCTGGAATGTCTCCACACACAGCACCTCCCTACCCCTACTAAATTAGCAGCAGGTGGGAGATAACATTGATGGGGTTAAAGGAAGAGGATCCTAATTTTCACAGCCCCACCTAGACAAAGACTTTCATGGGTGCTTTTCTCCATAAGCCTCACTCTTACCAGTGTTTTCACATTTGAAAGTGCTAAAATCAGAAAAAATAAGATACCAAGTGCTTAAATGAGCAGGTATAAAGAGAGATGAGGGGGCAGCTGCATCCTGATGCAGGGGAAAAAGCAGCTGAAGGGAGTTGGTCAAGCTTAGTATTTCTTTTCAAGGCGATGTAATTGTAAGTGGTAACAGCTGCAGAACAGTGGTATCATGGAAAGCAGCACAGTAGGGCTCCTATACCCTCAAGTGAGAGTAGCACAGTACAAAAGAACAGAAACAAAAGCTTCTGACAGAGGCAGCAGAGTTTTCTTTCATACTCAACACCAAAATACTCAGAAGGTATGAACAAGTGTGAAATTACATTTCCCTTTCATTGCAAGGTAATTTTTTATAACGTACTTTCCTTGCATGATCCCAAAAGTCTAGATGTAAACAGCTGTACTATCTGTCCTTCCATCATGCACTCCCTCCACTGCAGCAACCACTGCAAAGGGTCCTTCTCTTTCCTTACACTGCTCCTCATGACAGAAGAACGGCAGACGCCTTCCCCCTCGTGGCACAGACAGGAGCTAACAGTTTACCTACCAAAGTCAAACTGGTTCCTGCTGCAGTTGTACTGGAAAGAACTGCACAACTAATAGCACTTTAGAACTCCTATTTCCAATCCGAGCTGTGAATTGAGAGAACGAGAGAAATCATGGGAAGAGACCCAGAGTAACAAACAGCACAGCTTTCTCAGGAACACAATTAAATGTGTCAGAAGACTCCTAAGCCCCTAACACTGGCACACATAAGCTCTAGTAAGTATGAACCGTTATGTGAAAGGGATTGTCACTCTGGAATTGTCTTAAGGACAGGTTTCCTACAATAGCAAAAGCTCTTCTTCACTCAATCAGCTGAAGGAACACTCTGTGCTCTGAACACTTGCTTCCCCTAATTTTTATCATCTACACTTCCCTCCGTTTATCTGTGATTGAAGTATAACAACTCTGACTCCTGCACGCTCCTGTCAGAAATGGCAATTCAGTGTAATCTAAAAATCTTCTGATTTAATTTACAGTGAAATCAGACCTCACAAGAAGCATTACATCTCTACAACTGCTGCATGACAGAGCTTTCTTATTAAAGCTGAGGCTGACCCCACTTCTGAGAATGCCACTATAACCTACATGTCAGCACAAATAACACCAATGTAAAAGTTAACATTATTTTTAACTGATAAGCCCTTATTACTCAAAATACATGCCATAAACATCAGACTTTAGCACACTCCATATCAGAATTGAAGAATGCCAGGATATACTGCAGAGCATACTAAAACCACATTAAAAAACCACAGTCTTTAAATATATTCAGATATGATTTAGGCTTTTTTTTTTTCTGCAAGACAAATGGCTGCATAAAACCACATCAGAGTACAAACATCATAAGACACAACTACAGATATTTTTACCTTAAAATGATAATGGGCTTTAGATCTTTTCTTCTGGCTTGTAATTAGTACCTAAAATACTTAGCTAGAAGCACAGAACTGAACTTCTTGGTTCATCATGTCTTATTTGTTATCTATGAAATCTGTTTTTCAATATACAGTAGACTACATTAATACGATAGCTACAGAGGACCAGCCCTCAAGTTTCTATTCAGCTGGTACTTCTAACTTACTATTTGATTGCAAAGGTAATGCAAAGCAACACAAAGCTAAATCAAACCTGTGGGTATCAGCTGATTATCTTCAGAAGTGAATTTCTTAGACCAGGCCAGTAAGAACATGACATACTCACAACAGGCTTGTGACATACTCACTTCAACCTTGGACAGTTTAGACCAAGTGCTGTGAGAGAAGCATCTGTCAGGTTGCTACAGCCTGAAACACAGAGTGACTGAAGTCTGTGGCATCCTCTACAGATTTTGACAATGCCTTCATCTGAAATTTGCTGCAACACAGAAGAAGGCTGAAATTACTCCATTATCAAATAACCAGCTAAGAATAAAAATCAAGTCATATTAACTGAACTGGTAGCATCACACTGTATATAATCATGGCAACCTGTGGATTTTCAACCAAAAATACTATCATGAAACCATGTTCATTGATAACACTGCAAACAATCAAAAGACAATTCCTACTCGTCTATGTATTTTTCCACAGATCTCAAGCACTGCTCAAAGGCAGTCTGAAGCACAGAGGGAGAGTTACTCGTTGTTGGCTTCCCCTTTCACTATGCTTTTGCTTCATAATTTTCATTCTTTTTAAAAATTATTTATATTTAATTGTAATTGTCATTGTGTTAAATAGCTTGCTCATACGTTTGTAGAGTGCAGGTCTTTTGTTCCAGAGACAGTGTAAGTTCAGGAACAGTGCAAAAGAGAACCTGAAGCTAGACAGCAGTAAAGCTAACTACCTATTTTGCACTGGAGGAGCAGGACCCAAGGGTAAAAATCCTTCATGTCTGGATAATTTTCTAAGCAAAAGCTGCCTTGAGCTGAAAGATTTAACTCAAAAGAGGGGTTTTCATTTTGCAAAGTTGTTTTGTACTAGATATTCTGGGGAAAAAAGAAGTAATTCTTAAATTTGGACACAGAAGCTAGAAGAAATACCCCCAGTGCAGCTGCACACAAAATAGCAACAGGAATTGGGTTATTGAGGGGTGTGTGTGCAAATATTATTTTGTTTACAGGTCTTCTAGTCTGGAAAAAGTATTCTCCCACTCCTAACTCCAAGAATTTACTTTTTCTGCTGAATGACTGATCCTTCATGGTGAAACAGGTTATTTTATTTCCTGGCCTACCGTTATTCTTCCAATAACAACAAAGACCTCTACTGTATTTTGAACTGAAAATACACATTCTTTTTATAAGCCACACATCCAGGTATAGCAATACTACTTGAGCATATTTGAGGCTGTTACCACAAATACCACCTTTCACAGATGAAAACAGGATCTGAGATCGCCTTATGCCCCCTCCCCCAACCCAGCACTTTTTAGTATCAGAAGTTTGTATTTGCAATTTGTTCTGTCAAATAGAAATTATTCTAGACAGAAAGCTAGAAGTCTTGGCATCCTTCTGTGGATCTAGAAGGATCTGCATCATACACAGGTAAGAAAAGTCCAGTATCAATCAGGTATTTCTGGATGTGACTCCCAAAAAACATTATTTTCTAGAACTATCTTGGTTTTCTGGGAGATGCTCCTGACACTATCACTGGGAACAGGAACTATGTTGAAGGTAAGGACTATGTAAATTTTACGCTGCTGCTGGAGATGATCAAAATCCTCAAGTTATATATAAAAATTTTCCATTTTGAAATTGCTTGTCATTCAATGCCTACATCTCTCTTGGGAAAGAAAAAAAAAAGGCACAAAAATGTCTGCAAGCCCCCATTTTCTAAGACCTTTCTCTGAAGAATGTACCTATTGATCAGATGTGCATTTTCCACAGTTAATACCAGTTCATTTCATAGCTGCTGGCCTGGCATTTTACAAGGTCCATAAAACAGAGCCACTAGAATTAAAGTTTGGATCATCTAAAGCACAAGGAGATCTGCTGTGTAAATATCAGTGGTAGACCTTTAATCATAAAGGCCCTAGCTGCTTCTGGAAGCATGCTTCTAAGCCATAGAAAGCATGTGTTCTTCCATTGAGAAAGCATACCCTTCCCTTGATACATAGATGGTTCTGAATAATCTTCAGTTGATGCCAATACAATTTACTCTCAATTACGTAGCCCACAATATGTCATCTGTTACATTAGAAACCCTAAAATTATGAACAGACCAAAATGCTTGACCTTAATGGATGGGAGAACAAGATTTACATCTGTGAAACCGCATGGTTTAGCATACACACAGCTCACGAGATTTAAATGAATGCAGTTAATCCTTACTCTGGAGCTTGTTAAAAGACATAATGAAGGGGAAAAACCCTAACCCATCACTCCAAATCTATACTTGGCTGTAAAAAAAGACAGCTCTTTTAAGATCTCCAAGATTAAGATTTCCACACAGAATTCTGTAAAGTGCAGAAATATACTATTTGAGTTATTCAAGTGTGAAGCAGACCAATTCATTATCATTCAAAAATGGTTAATGATTCTTAGAGAATGTATCTTTTGAAGCTCCAAATACATACCGTACAGGATTGCAAATTCAGGATCACCAGTTCATGACAGTGATTTTGAATGTGTTTCAATGCTTCATCTTCTAACTTTGTTCAGCAAGTAAACAGGACATAGGAAAAGAAACAAGAAATTAAAAGCACAGCAAAGCAGCCCAAAGAACATACACATTTTGTAACATTGAACAAAAGACTGTAACAAAAATTATATTTTTTAATTCATGGAAAGTTCAAAAACCCAAAATAAAATTTTATTCCTAAAGGATCACCCAAGCAGTTATGTACCTGTGTGCAACCTCTAAGAAATAGAGCTTTTAGTCCACTACACCCTTTCACCAGTGCTTCAATACCATCCTTCGTAATCTGATCACACCAGGAAAGATTCAAATGTTCCAGATTTCTGCAACCCTCACTGGGAGAATTAAAAAAATACATAAAGTTAAATCCAGCCTTCAAATAGTCATAACAGTGGGAAACCCAAATTAAACACACTGTTAGGAATTAATGATAGCCAGTGGACTGCGCCAGGCCTCCACAGAAAAGTCATGAGAAAAGACCACACACAAACATTGCAGTCTACACCCCAGAAGCCCTAGATATAGAATATGGTCACTGCTGATACATACTATTAAGGCTCAGCAGTGATTTTTTTTAACTTTATTAAATGTTGAACAGCTCTTTAAATGCTTTTCTTTAATACAAAACACTGACTTTTCTTACCTTAAGCCTTTCAAAGAGCTGTTTGTGATGGCTACACAAGATGTCAGATCCAGATGTTTCAGCTTGGAACAGAATCTGCTAAGACTGTAACACGTGCTGCAAAACAGCAGACACACTAAAAATACCTTCAGCTACTTCTTCTTCCGAATTTTCCCATCAAACAGAAAACCACTTTGACTTACCTGTCAGTGATTTTTGTGCACCCATTTAGATTTAAGTGTTCGATGTTTCTACAGTTCTGTGCAAAGGTCCTAAAACAGCAACAAGAAGCTGGAGTTAATATATACCTCACAAGTTGTAATACAGTCACTAGAGCGCGCTCATGTCCCCTACTGCCTTCCACCTCAAAAAGCTTAATCTTCAAGCCACAGAGTAATTACAAAGCACACCTCTCATATGTCTGCCTCTTGCTTTTTCCTTTTGTTAATATAAGTATCTGACTTAGATAACTTCTGAAATAAGTGTTGTCCATCTCTCAACTACCACTTGAGCAAGGTATTTGTCATATATAAGCCAGAACTGATTTGCTTCAAATGCCTTAACTAAAAACATTAAGGGCATAAACAGAAAGGTTTAAATATCACATCAGTTAAATATTAAGCTGCTGGGAAGAGTTTTTGCACATCTCATTACTGAAGTCTTTGTAGGAGCTTGCTCCCACATTAAATGAAAAGGAATGTAACATACTATGCAGAAGTGGGACCTAAGCCTGTCGAACTACCAGTGGAAAGCGCTGTGGACTGCAAATTAGTTATTTATCATCTTAAAAATTAAAATGCATCTGTGCGCACTACTGGGTATGAACTATAAGGATGATTGGAGCTATTATACTGCTAAAAGCCTGTATGTATCATTATACTAATTACCCAGGAGAAACACACAAACTCTCTTTTCATCTGCAGAGTAATATTTACAGCTGCGTTGCATTTCAGAACACTGGTTTTATGCCCATGTTTTCTCCAACTGCATGGATTTTATTGGCAGGGGTGGAGGAAACACACAAAAACAGTTTTGTCTGGAGGCCTGCCGTGGCTAACAGATCCAACTACACACTCAGCTGGTAACAACTTCCTGGCTCTCCAGTGTGGGTTGGAAACAATGGAAAAAAAAAACCAGCAAGCACTTATACTGGTGAGAGTTTCCACTTGAATTCTCAAAACAGCTTTTCCAAAATTCATGTACTGGAGGGAGATTTACAATTGAGACACTGTACACATCACTTGGGAAGATGCTACACTGAAGAAACAGCAAACTTTGCTTTCAAGATTCAGGCATGAGGCATGTCCTGAGAGAGCTGCCACAAACATCCAGTATTTACACGGCCAATACCTACTTCCATGATTGGGTATTTTTAAATAAAATTTGATAGAAGTAGGACAAAGAAAGAAATTAATATCACCCACAAAACTAACGGATCTGGAAACACCACGAGAAGGCTCATAGAAAAAGTCACTTTTAGAATAAGTATCTGAAAATTAATGCCACCTTTCTCCTGCTAATGTTTTGAAAGTCTTAAAGCTGATGCATTTACATTCATTTGTTAATTTCAATATAACCTGCTTTTATTTCAGAGGTGAACCATCTTCTTTTCTGAAGTGCCTTAGACACTACCACCTGCACCAGTTAGTTGTCGCAGACGTACGCGTGAATGCTGGTAACACTCTGGTAGCCAGTCTCAGCTAATACCTGCTGGCATGACTAGCTCTCTCATCCCAACAATGTACACATGCTACACACTGAACTGCTGTATGCTTATTCTAAGTATCTGTTCACTGAGTACACCATTTTTCAAAACATCCCAGCTCCAGCCCTCCCCACCTTCTCAAATGCCATTACTACATGAACTCAGGATTATCTGGTCCTATTCACAACCCTCACTGCAGCCTTCTAGCCTTAGTACCCTTGAAAGTACAATTAGGAGCCTAAACCTAATATGAAAATGGAGTTTCTGGGGGGAAATCTGTTACCTACTGTCCTGACTCTTTCTTCCTACACCCTTCTCATTGACTTCCTGCTACCTGCTCCTCACGGTAGCTGTTACCTCTCTCAGATCCTGCCACTCCCCTCTCCTCCAATTCTGGTATTGCCTCCCCTACTGAGGACACAAAAACTGTCTGTGTGAATATTCTGAGAACTTGGAGGAGCATTACTCTGGTTGAAGCTACCTCTTTTTTGACAGCAGTTGCCAGTAATGTGGGAGATGGTAATAATATACACACTTTCCCCTGAGGAAGCAAGACTAACTGGAGGTGGAGACACCACAAAGCAGACAGGGAGATGGCTTAGAGGCAAGGAAAGCTTAGGGGAAATCTTTGGGTCTGAAGCCAAGATGCTTATTTGGGTTGCTAAAGCAACCTAGTGCTCAACTAGTTGCTGGATTAATTTACCCTAGACACAAAACCCAGTGAATTAGACTTACTTCTAAATTTTAGAAAGATCTAAAGGTCACAAGACACTAAATGTCCACTGCTTAACAAAAATCTTTGTGCTTGTATTTTCAGTTTATATACTGTACAAAAGAGGGCCACTGTCTCTATTTGGAGACTCCTGAGACGATCCTGTTGCCTGCCTGTCCTTAAGTTAGAGCCAGAAGAGAATCCAAGGCTTTTCCTGATTTTGCATGCACTAAATTGTATCAGTCTTTATTCTTCCTCCCATTGCTTGGGTCACCTTTTGTCCACACTAGGAGATAAACTAAAAACTGACTGACTAATCTTCAAGAAATTAAGTGTTGTAGGACACAAGAGTACAGGTCTGAAAACATTTTAACTGCTTGAAAAAGGAATGATATCAACATAATACTAATGAATAAAAAGACATGTTTCTGAAGATCAGAGTTCTCATTTCTTAGTTCATTTTCAGAGAATAATAGTAGCTATACTTCGATCTTAAATGGAAATCTCAGTCACTATTAAGGTACTCAGTATTCAGTATCCCATTTTGGCCATTAGTCAGTACTCAAATCCAAACAAATGTAACAATAATTGCTTTTGGTCCAGACATTAGGAAATAAGTGCTGTCTCAATCTTGGACTTTACTTACTTTAAGGAGGAGTCTCCAACACCAAGACATCCTCTCAGACTAAGTTGTCTCAGGAACCCACCACACCTTTTCGATATATTTTCCACAACTCGACCCTTAAACAAAATAGAAGGAAGATTTAGTTGAGTTTTATTCTGACGTAACATTCTAACCGAATTAAAAATATGGGCACGAACACCCACCCCAACTCTACCCCACCACAACTACACCTCCTTGAATTTCTTCTGCTGCTTTAAAGAAAAACAGTTGCCTGAGGAGACTTTCCACCCACAGTGAAGTGCCATTCAATGCCATTTTTAGTTCCATCTCCCTTTTTTTCAGTCTATCACACAGGACTCAACTTTTTGTCTCAGCAATAACTACCCATTAAGATTGTTGAAATCATCTTCAAGTTTTTTGTCAGATGTGTAGGGAACCTGAAGAACTGCCCTAGAGGTTGACTGGGAGGCAGGCCCATTCCTCAAGGATCACAGTTACTATTACAGCATCTCGGTTGAAATTAACCACAAAGACGTGCTGAGGCTAGTACATCACTGAACTACAGCCTCTGTACGTCCTGTTTTACAGTTCCTCCTGTAGGGATCTGCCTGAGCCCACCTGCCAGTCTTCAACGTCATATATATTTGGGTGTCTGTGCCTAACACTTGGGAATGACAAAGAATATCACAGGCTTTAGGCCTTGTTATTTGTTCGAAGCTGAAGCACAGTTTACACACAAAACCTCCTACTTGACCCCACATTTGCTATAAAATGCTTTTTATTTACATCTGCAAAGCAAATTTTGTTATAAATCAGGGGTTAGCAGAATAGCACAGTACTTCTAATATTCAGTCTGAAAGTAGCACTAGGCAAAAATGTTATTTAAACACCAATAAAAATATACTCATTTTTATATTTATTTAACATTTTTTAAGAAAAATAAGATAGCAAAAAGCAGGTGGTTACTGCAAAAAAATACTAGACATCACATTGTGTCTAATTTTAGGGAGGTAAGGTAAGAGAAACACTGACCATTTAATAAACAGGACTGATACCAAATAGCTAATAGCATCTTTCATTTTCTTTGCTCTCTTTTCTTTTTGTTTCTAAGAAGGAATACTTATACAGTTACAGGTCAATGGATTTTTGCTTGCTCACTGCTCACCTCTGATACCAAAAGTCCTAGTTATCACTATGTGAAAACATTTTCTTATCAGAGCTCATTTCTTAGTCCATAAGCAACATTGTTTATCTTGTATCTCAGAAGAATTTACACCAAAACAAACTGAAAATCACTATACAAACAAAATTATGGATTTTTTAAGGCTTTCTGATTAGACAAAATTCTTTCTTAGCACAGGCCAAATACCTTCACTGTGCAGATAGTATTCAATGAATAACATATAATGGGAGTTCAATCTACATTGCAGAAAAAAGCCAAACCCTATTGCATTATTCAAAGAAAACAGAAGCAGTTTCCCCAAACCCATTTATTTCTTTAAGCATGTAAAAAAACCCAACAAAGAGCATTTTTAAAAAGTCAAATGCATTGAAATGTGTTTAACTTTTGAATAATTCAATGTCACTTAAACCCCTAGATTTTCAAATTACCTCAGCTTACACTTGGTTCCACGTACCAAAAAATCCTACAGCACATTAAATCTCAAGATGATCTTTACGCATCTTCATCATAGAAAATAAACTTTTTTTTTACAGTTCCATCTCCCTCTTTACTCTCTACCACATAAGGTCTTCAATATGGAAGATTTCACAAAACCTGATTTTTCCTTATTTGATAGTCTCAGATCAAGTGCTGCTTGATGCTATGTGAAACATCACCAACCAGTACAATGTCAAACTGAGCAAAAAATTGCTAGATCCAATTAGCAGCTTTTACCTGCCCTAAATCTATAGACAAAAAATCTTACCAAAACAGCTGAAGAAAAAGACAGAGTTCTTAGACACCAGATGTGAGTACCACGTTCCAAACTACCTTGCGTAATAACCTTTGGTTTAATGTACTCTTACGAATAAATGTAAGGGGCTTGTATTACAAATATACTTAAATATAATATACTGAACTAAATTGCTCCAAACCACTATAGCTTCTTATAGCAAAAGAGGATCATAATTTAATTTCATCCCTTCTCCTGAATCCCATGATACAAACACAGCATCTCAAAGGGCAACACTAATACAGTATCTCGAAGGCACCACATAAGACAAATGTATCAAAACCATTAAAATCCAATACTGTGTTTCTAAATAGCAGAAAGGTTTCAGACACAGAAAAGGCCTACCAACAGAAGGCCCACAGACCCATGGGGTTTTCTTCATTATCTTAACAAAAGAGAAACACAATCTTTTTTAAAAGTAACTGAAAAGATTACATTAAAGCTCCAAGTCTTTGTAGGCACATTTAGATAGAGGCAGATGCCAAAAGTCTTTCTCGTACCTCTGCAAGATCCTCATGTTTAACATCAGTATAGAAGAGGAGTTGGCACTAATTTTTTAAGAGCAGTGAAAAAAATTAGTGCTATATATTACTGTAAAGCTTTAGGAACAGTTTGAACCATGCTTGGCAAAATATACCAAATGAAATCCATCTGGATTTTATTCATGCAACTAAGAAACTATAACATAAAACCCAGAAGCAAATTCATTACTGTATTCTAAATTTGATTTGTATCAAACAACAAATAATAAACCAGTTCAGACTCAATTTAGGAACTGTATTTCACCATGGATTTTTGTCTTAATTTTCTAACGTCCTATTTTATTTTGTTACACACATCTATGATGGCATTAATGCTGATATGTTTTTCTTACAGAAGACAGGACTGCCCTAATCATTTTGTTAAATGCTGAAAAGGACTTTAATCCACATGTACCGGCATTCCAGGCAAGGTCCAAACCTCATAAAGCAAACGTTCATAAAACATAATCAGATACATGCCTAGATTTGATCTGGTGCATAAGTGGTTAAGAAAAGTTGCTCAGCATTTTATTGTGCCAATCTCAAAATCCTACAGGAAAGCGTACAGAGAGCTTTTAGCACTAGATGGCATCCTCACAGAGTGGCTCGACCAGCAACAAAATTGTGTCTGGATGGTGAAACTGATTCAGAGGATCTCACTCCATCCAAACACACCATTTATACTTCTACTTTCTGGAAACGAGCAGCTTTTGAGTTTCAAGAGCCCTGTATGCATATGATATATGCCAATTATGTGATACATAGCTGGCAACCAAAACTGAAACATTCATCCAGTGTTAAAAAAGATAAACACAGAGTTATTATCCATTTGCTCCCTCACAGTCCTATCCTGAACTTCAGCCTTTAAAATGTGACCACAAGCACAGTCTATGTGATACTCAAAATGGGCTATGCTTTTAAACATCACCATAGGAATAGAAAAAAAAACTAAGGACACTAACCTCTATATCCGTTTGAAAGTTGAAGAGGTCTATTCTTTGCCAATTGCTTCCATCCAGAGCTAAAACATTCCATGCCTGCAGAAAACAAACACAGTTCATTTATTACCTCCACCGCCTGCTCCCTTCGCTTTCCTCTCAGCAACTGAAATATAACAAAATATACAATTTCAGGTCAAATTTTTTAAAAGAACTGTAACTGTAGATGTTAGTTGTCATACAATATCAACTAGTTAAAAACACTGAATTTGTGGAAATAAATCTCACATCTCCCAAATGGATTACACTGCAGAAGCTAACTTACGCCAGTAAAACACGTAGGAAAGCAAGAAATTAAAGTACATCCACGGATACAGCAAAGATCTAACCCTGCATTTTAAAAAAACTTCAGTGAATTCTGTCTAATAAGTTACTTTTGCTAAATCTGTATGGAGAAAAGTAGCTGCAGGTGAGATTCTGCCCAATAAACCCGTAGTTCCTCAACCTCATTAGTTACTATTCTGAGAAAAACAGAAACCTTTCAGAAAACTGCTGACCTTCCACTGTTAGAACCAGGGCTTTCCTTTACAGGTGCAAAGTTACATGTGCATGCTTGAGAATTTGTCCTTCTCTGTCGAAGCTCAAAGTAAAATAAAGCAAAAAAGCTGGAGAAACATAAATACATTCAAGCCCAGAAGAAAAAAATACTGCATCCAACCGACCGGTAGTCCTGAGAGAAAAATACAACTGATTCAATCACTTTGGTTTTCTTCCACTGTTTTGCAGGCTCTACCCGAAGGTTCTAACAAAACCTGATGCTAGCACAAAGCTTACTGACCTTGCAGGTCACAGTGATATGGGTGTAGGAATTAAACAGTTACACAATTCTACATTAAAACAAGCAAACAAAGCAAAACAAACAAAAAACAATAAACCCTGAACAAAATAAAACCCAATCCTCATCAAGAGAGGGAAGAAAAGCACGAAATAAACACGTTCATTCATGTTATATAAGAACACACTTCATTGTACGCACTTGATGTGGGAACAGACTATTCTTCATTTTAATTCAAGAAAAATAATCAACATAAGCTAAACATAAAAGCTTACTTAGCATGCTTTCTCTAGTATCTTCTGCTGCCTTTTTCCTCCATTAGTAGTCCATCTACTTAACACCTTTTTGTACTTGGCAAGCAAGTGATGAATGTACTTCCTAGACACATGGTGCACATTAACTGAACTACATGGAATTTTAAACAGAAAATACATCTGAAAAATAGTGCTATGCAGCCACATGCTTTATAAAAAGCAAGTGCCATCACACCAAACTGGGCTTAATCCTTTCTCCAGATATAGACCATACACAACTAGGTTATCTTTTCCATAGCCTTTAAACAGAACTTCAGTACATAGCAACTAAGACCACATCTGAATGGAAAACTCTTCCTTTATTTTAAGAACCAAATAGACTGAGAGAACTAATGTTTGGAGGCTATTTTTGGACAGGAAGCAGATTGCCCCAAAGCCCATGATTTGTATATAACTAAGAGAATAGCATCCCCCATAAAAACAAAAAACCCCAACAGAAATACATACCTTGGAAACTTGTGCGCATCGACACAAAGTAACTATGTCCAAGAAAGAAAATATTCTAGGAAGAAAGGCAAAGAACAACAATTAGAATGTTTTATTATAAAGTCAGACTAACACACGGACTCACAGCTCTGTAGTTCTATAAAAATGCACTAGTTGCACAAGAAGCAAGTTAAATGCAGTATGAGCATTTTATCAAGTTATTTTGCTGCTCAGGACTTAAGGAATAATATCACATCTATCATCTAAAGACAGTCACCACCAACATATTAGAACCAGCAGGTGTTTCTTCTGAAAATACCTATTTTCTGTTTCCCCCTCCTTACTACCCAAACATAAATGAATGATAAATTATTTTGCTTCTTTTTAATTCAGACAAACTAGCTTATATACCTTTAATTGGGCTGCAATTAAAGAAATAACTCAAACAAATACAAGTGAAGGTTTCAGAGGTTGGAGACTAGTAAGAAATGGAGAAAAACACAGATAAATTCAAGAATCTAAGTACTAACAAAAAGAAAAATTACCCAAACTTCTAAAGGGCTTTCATAGTGACTACCAAGTCTAACAGTTATTTATTTTTTAATTTACTCAACAAGAAACAATTGAAAATTCAGCATTACTATTCTGAGCATGGAACCAATTCCTCAAGGCTGCCAACTCTTAATAGTTTTCTGAAAGAAATTTTTCACTGTCAAAATGAATTTTGCTAAATACCACTTCCAGACAACAATGAAATTGCTTCAAAGGGTGTTCTCAGTGAAGAAAAAAAAATAGCTTAAGCATAAAATACAAATCCTATTCCAAAATAATTCTCTATTACAGAGAGAGATACGAAATAGATGAAAGACATTACTGTGATGCACTTATAAATACAAATACTATAAATATATAAATAATATATATAAATATATAAATCCTGTGATTCACTGTTACCTTCTCGCCAATGAATTTTTTCAGTTATCAGAACAACTAATAGTAATAATAACAATTTCATCTTTTAGTGAGATGTTAACACTGAGGAGTAAACAACAGGTAAAAGATGCTGAATTTACTAATGTAAAATTACTATTTTCCAAGTGGAAATCTCAAGTGAGAGCTCAAAATGGATGCCTACATCTTAAGCGCTGTGAGTTTTAGCTGTGGTAAGAGTCAGCAAATGTAATGGAAGTTAATGGAAGCACTTCTTACATGTAACAGCCTTCCGGATGTTTATTATTATCGCTTTAGATAATTGGTATTCCAATACTCATTAACACATGGAAATACTTTATATTTTCCACTGCAGAGTAATACCTTGTCTTCAAAAACTATTAGCCATGAAAACAGAAGGCAAGACATTCTCAAAAGCTATGAAACAATTTATAAAAACCTGTTGATAATATTCCTTTTGATAGCATATATTTCTGTCATTTGAACATCCATTCTGAGGTCTGACCATTTCCAAGAAACTTAGCAGCGTTTCATGCAAAAAGGACATACTAATGTGCTCAGCAAAATTGCTGGATTGTTCAGATGAACACTGAAAGTGTTCTCAGCCTTGTAAGAGCAGCATTTATAACAATGCCCCACCATGAACTTGCCAACTAACCCATGACTTGCCAGCACAAGGCAAGTGGCAGGAGATGAATGTCACAGATGATGCTGGAGACCTGCTAAAGCTTCTTGGTTTGTAAAAGCTTCCTCCTAGTACCACTGTATGAGTGTAATCAGGTGGTTATATTTACAGAGGCTGAAGCACAAAAAAGGTCTATATTATTTGTTACAAAGGAAGGTTTGTGACAAACCACATTGTGACACAATACTCTTGCCTGAATGAAGAACATGACACGCTTTAGAAGTGATGTATCTAGTTACACTGAAATATGAAACAACAGAAGAAATTGCAAGATGTCGAAGAGAAAGTATTTCATACTGCCAGACTGAGTTGTCTGGCAGTCTGTCTTCATGTTTGATTGTTTATTGCTGTTAGAAGATCAAAAGTAAATGAAAACCAAATGCAGAACACATGTATTTAGTTTTGCTCCATTCTGTATGAAGTGACTTTTTAAAAAGTCAAAACCAAAAAAGTGGTCATTTTATGTTAAAAGGAAAAATACTTTAGTAAGTGTAAACATTCATGATGCTCTCAGTTTTTATTTTTATTCTAAAGAAGAAACTTTCTTGCAAGGTGCTCCAAAATGTCCCCACCAAAATAATATTTGCTGGATTATAATGCATCCTAATCAGAATTATTACTGAATTAAATACTAGGATAGGTAAGAGATGCCAGTAAATTCCAAAGAGTCATTTTGCCAGCTTGCTTGAAAGCATTTCTTCCCCATACTTTTCTGTTTACCTTCTATAGTACAGGCTTACATATGCACCACTAAAACACACTTGCTTCTCTACTGCAGTCACACAGAACTACTAGGAAATACTTACCAGTCAGGAAAATTAGCCAACAAGGCACAAGACTGTAAGGTTTAAAGTAATTTAAAGTCTTTTAAAGACTTTAAAGTCTTTAAGAGACTTCAAAGGCAACCAAAAAACTGAGATGGAGATGGCAACACTGGCATCATCAGTCATCTGTTAGCATTAGACACTGACAGTGTCTGGCACTTAGGGTGAAGAATAATGTCAGCAGGCACTTGTAATTTTAAAAAGTGGAAAAAACTACCAAGACAGACAGGTGATGGTTGTATGGCACTTCTGTCCTCTATGACCATAGCTATGCAGATGGAAGCTAATGCAGCCAGCAGGAGGATTAATTTCCACTTAAGCCTTTGCCATGGAGTACGGGGAAACTGGAAATTAAGTTAATAGATCCACAGGAAAGTTTAGGATCATCTATTCTGATTGCCAGTATCCAGGCTATTCAATTCTCCATAATTATCCTATATGAAGTTCAAGAACGCGAATCCCCTTACAACCAAGCAGAGCTCTTCAAGACTTTCTATCCCTAGACACATACCAGTCTGGACACGAGTTTGGCCTTGGAGGTCTTTCAACGTTAACAGTACCTGCAGTACACATAAGCTTCATGCCAAAGACATAACGGGCAGCATAAGCGCACAGTTCTTCAACTCCCTTATGGTAAGCATGAATTTTACTAAAGTCTAACATCCATAAAAGGATCTATTCTTGATTTGAAAGCCTTCAAGAAATGGAAAACCACCACCTTCTCTGATAGTTTGTTCCACTGCTTAATTACGCTGTTACATTTGTGTTATTTCCAAGGTGAATGTCTGACTTGCAGCTTTAATGCTTTTTTCTATTTTTCTTCACCGAATTAGAGTACATTAGCAGTTAGTACTTTCCCCACACCGAGTTTTAAAGCACTTATCATGTCATCTTTAATGCTTCTTGTTGACAGACTTTGTACTTTAGTTCTTTGAATCTCATTTTCTCTGCACATTCTTCATTTTTCCAGTATGCTTCTTTAAATGTTAGACATCAGAAGCACATGCAGCATTAAAAAAATTAGTATCAACAAAGCTGTACACAGATGTGCAAGTCTGCCAAGCAATTACAGTATCAGAAACAATCAAATTGACATGAGTACATAAACTGCATTCATATAGACTACTATAGAAGCCTTTAAAGAGGGCATTTAATTATACAAACCCTTGAAGTGGGGAAAATTAATTATGTGTGTGCAACGATTCAGGACATGGTTTAGTGGTAGACTTGGCAGTGCCGGGTTAACAGTTGGACTTGATTTTACAGGTTCTTCCAACCTAAGAATATCAATGATTCTGTGATTCTATGTTTGAGATGACAGATTTCTCCCCCACCTCAAAATACACACATTGTTTGTCTGCTTACAGAATTCTTACCAACTAAGAGTAGATCCATATACAAGTTTGTATTTTTCAGTTCTTTGACTCACCAGTTGGTACTTCCTACGGTAAGATATTTTACAGCAACTGTGGGCCATTTAAGTACCTACCATATCTAGCTAAGAAATACCAATGGCATTATAACAATTCCTTGTAACCTTTACTATATTTTTTCTATTTCCCCCACAGTTAAGCACACAGATGGTAAAGCATCACTTCAAACATACCAAATACTATGTTTGAATACACTAATTTTAAGTTTCTGGCAATTTCTGCCCTACAGTAGTAGCAGGCTAAAAGCTGAGCAAAAAGCAGTGTGCAGTACTAAAACCAAAGAACAGAAACATGAAAACATATATAATACTTAATTAGCCGACTCACATGCTGCATATTCTTCTGTACAAGAAAAGCTGCTACTGGAACACAAGTCCTGGGTTCTTCTCCTAATTTAAGGCCCAAAACTTTGCTTATCCTCTCTGAAATCTGATTAAGCAATCAAATTTTTACTCTGATGACTATTATGACCCATAGTATGACTACTATGACCTATTATTATTCCAGTACATGCACCAAGTACATATGGTTTATAGCAGAACTCAGAACAGCTTCTGCATTTGTGGTCCAGCCTACGAAGTTGGTACTTTGAAGGCAGAAGGGAACATAACATGGTTCAAGGGGTCAAAAGGAATAAACATCTTTGTTTCTTTGTTTCTGAAGCTTGCCATTTTTGTGCAAAATCTTCTAGCACAGAAGGTTAGCAGTTAAAACACAAATGAACAAGTGTTATCTGTCCTTCTACATGCCAGAAGTACTGGCTATATCCCCATTTTCAAACCTGTACATTTGAATTCAAACATGTATGTTTTCAAAATTCTCATCAAGCATAAAATAAAAAAAAAAAAGAAGGAAAGGGTTTTTGGAAGCTGTTGGAAAGTCAGAACATTCTAATATTACATTCACTTCATTTTTTTTGTTCCCAATGCTTTTCAGACTCATATGGTAACTTGAAAAATCCATTTGTTTTTCCCAGCAATTTACAAGGGGAAAAAAAAAAAGAAAAAAGAAAACTATTCATATTCAAGGCTGTGACATCTTACTGGAACAGCTGTTACTGTTAAAATTGCAACAGTCTCTCTCTGACTTTATTTCTGATCCTTCTGAAATAGATATGGGTTTATTAAGTTTAGACACCAGTGCAAATCCACAACTAATGTCCTGTATAATCATACGATGCTTTTCCATAAACATACAGGCTAAGCAAAGAAAAAACTATAATTGCCTGAAAACATTATTTAAATGACATGATTTATAACATCGTTGCAGGATTCTTACTCAAACATCATACAATTTAGCATTTATTCAACCTTTCACTTCCAGCAATATATAAGAGCAGAGGGGAAAGAGTATTCCTTGCCAACTGGCAAATTAACAGCATTGCAACAGCTAACAGTGATCATTTTTCTTTTAGCATGAACAGTACCACAAATCAAAGCTTTTAGAAGCAGCCTGTTTCTTCCACAAAAATAAAATTACTCCAATATTACAAATAAAAATAAATGCACATAAACCAGAAAAAGTTACAAATTATCTCCTCCCTCTCTCCACTCAAGCTATCCTACCTAACTCAAAGCATAACTGCTCCCTCCAAATGAGGGTCTTCTTCAAAACCACTGCTGTCCATATTAGTCATATATCCTTTTCCTCCTCTGCACAGTCATCTGGGTCTCATTGAGAAGGAACAATAACCTCTGGGTTTGTATCCTAATGAGCTTCTTGCCTGAGAAGCTGAGGGTTTCAGTCGTTTACGTATAAGCATAGTAGAAAATCTGTAGAAAATGTGCAAGAGACACGACACTGCCCTGAAAACCTTGCAATCTAATTCTGGTTGTTAGATAAATAATAAGAATAGTAAGAAAGAGCAAGAACTGCAGTATAAGACCAAGGGCTTACTTTGTTCAATTTTAGAGTATGTAACCGTATCAACAAATGAGTAAAATTTTACAGTGGTGGTATTTTCTAAGTCTACTATCAGAGAAAGGTTTCTCAATTTTAGAGAAAATCTGGATTGCTTGTTATAGTCAGATTACAGATGTTTAAATACTTGATGTAAATAAGAATGCAATACAAGAAACTGTGTTTCCATTTCCAGATATTTGTAACAAAATATCAACCACTCTTTTTCCACATGTCAAACTGTTGTTTGGGGTTTTTTTAGGGATTTTTGTTTTTTAAGAGCTGTAGTGTTTTCCAACAGTTTTCATACATATCTGATATAAGCAAACAACAAACTATGTATTTGATGACACTTTCAATAGTGTATTTACTATTCAGTTCCAGCACTATGAGCAAAATGTTTCCACTGCAACTGGCTTCCTCTCCTTTTAATTAAAAGGTAGACTGCATAGTTAATACAGCAAAAATAATTACAAAATTAATTACACTCAGTGCAGCAATATTTAATCCCTCTTGTCACAACCATATGGCAAGACAATTTTAAACATATTGTAGCACAAGCATAAACTGTTAGGTGTTGAAAGACTTTCAGGCTCTGTCTTGCAAAAGCATTTATGTGCAGAAGCATAAACCAAATTCCACACTGATAATCCTGTAGACAGCCAGGTTCGTGCCCCTAAATTTCCCCAGATATCTATACTCTGCAGGGATGAGAACTCCGACCCCATGTCCCATCATACTACCCTCCAACATACTCTGCCTTTGGCCTTCTGAGTTTGTCTCTGCAGCAGTACAACTTCAAAAGGAAATTTTACAGAGCACCTCTCCCACCCATCCCCTTCCTCGCAGTTCCAAAGCCCTGACAGTCCAAGTCAATACTGTGCGTGTTATAAAACGTGGACTTTATTTCTCCCTGGCTATGGGCGGACCATGACTCGAGTCCCAGCATTCAGCATGAGATCATCATGGTCTTTACTAAGAAAGCTGACTCCCCCAGTTGAATTTCTCAGTCATCTATTCTGGCTACAGCTTTGATCTACTTTGGAATATCACTGTGCAACTGCAAAGAGGACATACACACGCAAGAACTAGATGGTTGGCTAAATCACTTCTGCGTATGCTTGGTCTGGGCTATTTTATTTTGTCATTCCAACATCAGGAAGTGCTTCAACCATGCAAAGGGTTTCTTTAGACACTGCACAATAGTGTAGTGGCAGTGCCTTCGCAGAATCACTTCCTCAGTTGGTCTAATCCAAGGTAAGCCTATATAGCCCCCAAGTTGTTCTGCAAGAAGTTATCTTGTATTCAAGAGCTAACAGCTAAGTCACTGGTATTGTCCAATTTCTTGCCCATTTTTTTCCCCTGAGTTCTTTAAAATGTCCTTTAAAATGCATATGTTGGAATAAACATACACCTCAATGAAACAATTAAGCTACTCCCTATTTAACATTTTAAAGAACTTACCAAATTTGGCGTTGGAATACACAATTCAGGAAATTGACACCTAGAAGTTAAATGCAGGAATTCTCACAATTCCCAGGAGCAGGGCCCAGCCTGGGAGCTCTGCTCTGGCTGCCCCAGTATTGGCCAGTGTCAGCACCCAGACAGAACTGATGAGAGCGGAGGCTGCAGCGCAGAGCTTGGGGTGACAGGACAAGGGGTAATGGGTTCAAACTGAAACGGGAAGTTTAGGTTAGATATAAGGAAGAAGTTCCTTACTGTGAGGGTGGGGAGGCACTGGAATGGGTTGCCCAAGCAAGTCGTGAATGCTCCATCCCTGGCAGCATTCAAGGACAGGTCGGATGGAGTCTTGAGTGACAAGGTTTAGTGTGAGGTATCCCTACCCATGGCAGGGGGTTGGAACTAGATGATCTTAAGGTGCTTTCCAACCCTTTCTATGAGTCTAAAATGCAAACTACCATTATTTGAGACATTCTTCCACTTCAGACTGGATGCAATGACATATATACAAGGTAACCCAAACATCTTAGTGTATTAAGAAGAAATTGTCAGCTCAGTTTTGTTAACACCATCACTTAAATCTGTAATTACAGCATTACAAGTGAACGCTTTCCTTTTTTCTTCCCTCCAAGAGAGGCTGTAACAAACTCTATAGGCAGACACAGAAGACACCACTAAGCTGTTTCAGTTCCAGCATTGATGTGATCACATCCAGTTGAGCCGTATCATCATATATGGCAGTTTACACTTTGCCTGAAATCAACTTAAAAAAGATGAGAGTGCAAAGACATCCTTTAGCATCTCAACCATGGGCAGAACTTAACTGATCTTGATGTCATAGCTAACTCCTGCAAAGGTGAGCTACTCACAGTGGCAAGCTGATGAAATTTATGACTAATCAAATTACTACAGTAAGGAAAGTTCTCCTGCTGGTTCTAACTTAGAGTAATGCTAACAGGCAGCACTTTTCTGCAGTGACTTTTTGAAAGCTTTGAACTTGAACTTACATTTTGTTATAACAAAATTCATGACATGAAGACTGTGAATTACATTACAGAAAGGATTACAGGCTCTTCAGACAGATAAAACGTTGTGTAGCGTGGAAGAGCTGACTACTCTGTACACCAAAGCTTTATGGACATTTTACTTCAGTTTTTCTGACATGCAAGGAAAAGATCACTGTTAGATTGCATCTTCCATGGTATAGTATAATTTGAACACATTAAAACAAATCAAGGCTAACCAAAAGACAACAATTTCAACAATTCCAAGAACTAAACAAAGTATGTTACTATTTATTTCAAGACAGATTTAAAAAAGAATAAATAGCACTTGATAGCCTGTAAGCTATCTAAGCAATGCATGATTCTCATGTTTTTACCCCTTAACACACTATAAAGTTACCTTAACAGAAGTTCTTTGGGTAGTTTTTTGTTAATAAGGGCTTCATCATTATTTGAGAAAACCTAAAAACAGAAAGAAAAATCATCACTTAGACCTACAAGACAAAGGCTTTTAGAGAGTCTTTTCACCTTCTATTTAGGTGCTTAATTCTTTTAAATTACTGTTCCCATTTTCAACATGTCAGTTGGCAATACTATAAAATTATTTCAATATATATAACAGGGCCACACTCACACATACACCTGGTATTCCCTAGTGCTAAGATGCAACTGTGCTAAAAATTATGAAGCAACTTGACAGTCATTAAACAAGCGATACGAAGACACATTTTCATAGTATTCTAGGCAACAGCGAAACTTCTAGCAATAGCTAGATACATACAAACACACACTAGTTAGTGTCCTAAAACTGTCCTGTTACAGAAAACAGAAAGGGGACACTTTCCAGTTATTCAGGTCCCTTCCTTCATTGCCTGCAGCGTAAATACTTCAGCCCAGGTATGTGAATGTGGATAAAATATAATAATCTAAATTTAAATAATTTACTGCCACAGGTATAACAGCAACTGCTACATAAGCATGGGAAGCACCTCAAAAAATGCTACCAGAAAAACTGAAAATACCTCTCACCCAGAATTTCCTAACAGATCTCCTAAGGAAAAGAAAGTGGAGAGATTGAAAGAAAATGCCAAAGGAAAAAGCAGGTAATACACAGGAAAATGTTTCTGCAAAAGACAAACAGGATTAGTCAACAGATAAATAGATAAGCTACAGAAAGGAGATACTGACAACTTATTGTAAATATGTAGGTTTGAGACATTTTGCCATTGAAAAACAGCAATAAACAAAACAAAGTGAATCAGAATCATGTTTGCGATCAATTCAAGGAATCACAGTATAGACTGGAGAGAGTCAAAGTCACAAACAATCACTTCCCCTGCAAAGAGAAGATCATTAGGTAGTCATCTGCTGTCTACATTACCTGAAACAAAAGCCAGAAGGAGATCCAATATAGCCAAGAACTTCCTGAATGCTAAAAGGTAAACTGGAAGTAATCTTTCGGTCCTCCACTGAGAGTATGCTGTTCCTGACTCAGTGTTATCCCTTGTCCATCCTACCATCACACATTATCACGTACTTGGCAAGTATGCTTTGCTTCTTGGGAAAATAAGGAAAACAAAAAAACCCCACCCAAACAAACAAACAAACAAAAACCCACCAAAAAAAAAAACTAAAACAAACCCAAACAAAACCAAAGAAAATCAAAACCCAATTCTAGTCCCTTAAGGAGAAAAACATTCATGGCTTTAAGCAGTTCTACATGGCTGACTGCAGGTTAAGGTTCTGCTTTACATCCCATGCCCATTGCTGTCAGTGTACTGACTTTATGCTGAAATACACTATGCGCACCAAAACTATTTTTAGAAGAGGTTGTCTGAACTTAGTAATTCATTGATTTATGAATTATCTGCATGTATGCCATTTTAGGATTATATGCTACTCATGCTTTTCATCTTACAGCCTGAAAACAGTATTATATATTGGGATAATTTTTTAGAAGAACAGTCAAAACATAGTCCTGTGTTTACTGCAGCATTCATTTAGAAAAATAAGACATATATGCCATCCTCATAGAACTTAACATCACTAAAAACCGAAGTGAGGAAATACTTCTGCTGCAGAGAAGGAAGTTACCTCTGTGAAAGCACACTAGGTCTACAGTAAAACCAGCTAGTGAACTTACATCTTAGTTAATTCTGGCCTAGATTCTGAACATTCAGTATCAGAGACCACTAAAAATCCTCTTTAAACTTAATTATTCTGTAGTTACAGATAATTCCTCTAAGGTTACATCACCTACCATACATTTTCCACTTATGAGCCTGATTATTTTTAAATAAAGCTACTTTGCAGCCTGCTACTGGTTAACACGTGCCATCGTTTTGCCAGTACAAAGGTTATCACCTTTTTTTTTCTTTACACTCTAGATTCTCAGATGTATAATAACATGGATATAAGCTCACTGTATGAAGGCAACACAGTAAGTTAGTAAATTTGTCACATTCAAAAAAATAACCTCCCAGTTTTGCTTTCCCTTCCAGATTGTTACACACACTAACTACCACTAGTCCTGGAACATAACTTGTTGGTACACCACAGTCAGCTTGCCACTATTAAAAGCACCACATATTCTTCTCTTCTGGTCTAACAGTTGGTGATAAAGCTCTCCTGTTTTCTCCAGAATTACTGACGGAATTGTACATTTGTGGTTTTGCATCAAGTTTGGCAAAGAAGTGCAGTAAGTTCATAAAAGTACATTTTTCTCTACGAAGAAATATAGGAATATTCATCACAGTTTATTATGCTTACCTTAAACATTTTGAAGTTCCTTCCAACTAGTATTTTAAGATCAAAACAAGGTTATACTAGTGATTTTGGTGATAATTTTTTTCAATGATGCAATTTCAGTTATTATCCAGTCCTCTTTTGAAGAGGACTATTGTCTTTACAGATGAAACAGTTCTGCTGGCATTATGGCTCGGTTCCATGGAGATATTTATGTACCTAATTGCCACTGACATCAGAGTCAATCAGGACCTTCAACCTGTCAACTTTACAAATCAAAAGTTATTAAAAAACAGACTCAAAACCAGACTTGCTTAGTAGTGTGCTAAAGCGAGTAAGTAGGGATAAATTTGGGAAAAAGGGAAAATTATGTCTGAGACACCCAAAAGAACATCAGCAAAAAGAGAAGACATACATACTAAAAACAAGGCTGAATTATTTATCAGGCCAGGAACAAATGCAATGTTGGGTCATTGTCACCAAAGGAAACAGCAGTTTAGAATTAAATCCATACATTTATGGCTGACAGGGCTAACATCCTAGTTAGACTGTAAATATTGCCATGTCTAAAAAGCATAGCGTCTTTCAGGTTTTCACTGGCAAGAGCAATATTTATTTACTGTTATTTACGTAGTGATAGGCATTGTAAGGACAAGGTGTTCTAAAGGAAAATCCTGACAAACTAGAATTAAACTTTTATTCAGTTCCCCTGATGTGCAGATTTTTATTACCAAACACGAACCACACAAGGTTGCTGCACATCTCTTCCTCAACAGAGACACTCAATTGCTGCCTGTGCAATCTCCCCTTCACCATGCTACTGAAATCACCTCTCACTATAGTGAGAAGAAAGCCAGCAGATCAGCTTTGCTACCCAGAGCAGCTCAGGAGCACACTAAAGTTATGAGTGGCATCCTAAAAAGCTCTCTATTTAAATACAACAGAAAAATGGAGGAGGAAGAAAAGGGAAAACAATCTTGCTTTACTATAAATTTTCTATTCTCTCACATGTGACACTATAGAGTGCTCTCTAATGGTCAGAGAACCGCTGCTAGCTGATGCTTTCTCCAGAAATGAACAATTAAAGCATTGGACAGGCAGACAGGCAGAATCATTTAACTCTATGCAAGTAGCAAAAGGTAAAGGTATCCAGGCAACAAAAGGAGTGTCAGACAAGCAAAGGGATGCACATTGCCAACAGAACAGAAGTAAGTGATACCCAAGACACAACAGCTGGTGGCACAGGACTGCTGTTACATTAGAACTCATGGTAAAGCTTTCTGTATCAATAAAATTATGACACACCAAAGTGAACCTTGAAAGGCAAGCCCATCTCAAACCAAGCTTGCCTAGAGCAGAGACAGAATGGCCAAGTCTTTCGTTTCAACAACAGACACTATTTGCCCTAAAGGCTCTCACTCCTATGCTCAAGCTGCTCACCATGCTCCATCACAAGCTTTGACTTTGTGCACTTTAAAATCCCAGCCATTCTGGTCTGTTTTGGTCACTAACCTCTTTTTCCCTTGGACCCTCTACCAGAGCTCAGGGCATTGCCTTCAGTAGGCTCACAGCTTCCTCCTTGCTGCCAGACAGACACCTACTGGTTCTCTGTTCTTTCCTCGGGATCTCTTCTCTTCCTGCACTGTGACAAACTGACCAATAAAAGCAACTAGTACCTCATACGAAATACTTTTGTACTTACTGTGTTAGTCAGCTTAAACAATTAAGGCCCACCTTCGGTGAACAAGATCACATACCAGGTTGGACAGGGCTTTGAGCAACCTGGTCTAGTGGAAGATGCCCCTGCCACAGCAGTGGGTTGGAACTGGACGAGCTTTAAGGTTCCTTCCAACCCAAACCATTCTGTGATTCTATAAAATATGCCTATGAACATCTCTCTGCCTTTTGATAACGTCTTCCACTGACCTAGGGCTGCCTGTAAGCGCTATACTGCTTTTAAAGTTTCCCCAAAGTACATACTGTCCAATATATTAAAACCTGCCAGGCAGAAGCAGCTGGCCACACTGCCCACTTTGCTGCTTGGTTTTCTTCCAGAAGACCCATCATTCTTGTTTTGCCAGCACTGGTATTCATACCACATCATTCACATTTTACTGGAGGGAATCAGTCTGGCTTTGCAAGGTCCTGTTCTCACTGGGTGACTGATCAAGGTCATTTGTGAACTTCAGAGCTGATGTCCGTAGCTGCTCAACTCTATCTCGAGGCCTTTGGCTGTTCCAGCTCTTAACATGGAGTAGGAGGTGCCTGGAGGTTGCTTTGACTGCTGTCTTGATCACACAATTTTCAGTTGACCTAACTACTCACATCACCCTTTTCCGTGTGTTTTTCAGAAGGGCTGTCACCTACTGCCAACAACATATTTGGAAATCACCAATCAAGCCCTTTCAATAGTATGACTTACTTACTGCAAGCAACCAAGGGAGAAAGGCCTAACAGCCTGACCTGTTAGCTGATCTGGCTGTTCTTTAATGCAAGACTTAGCCTCATCTCCTATAAAGTCACCAATGAGACAGCAATCCTCTGAACTAGCCCCAGATATTAAGCATACTTTCACATACTACTGTCTTACCACTGCTGTTATTTAAGGTGCTGTGACAGATTCATGTAAGCACTTAATTCATGTAAATTATGATACAAACCAAAGAGATACATCTTGTTCTAACCACTAGCAGAGATGGCAAAACAAACCCAAACTG